CGACCAGAAACGCCGTGTAGGCGGCAATACTCGTACCGATCATGCGCGTTAGGTGAACCAGTAACCAGGTGGATGGTGCTACTCCCTGTTGTTTGAATAAGTGCCAGTCCTGCCACAACATGCGAAACGAACTTTGGGCGAAAAAGATGAAGACTAACCCAAAATAATCGCGCTGAAAAAGAATGTAAATTCCGTAGCCCAGGAAGTAGAGGCTAAACAGCAGCATTAAAACGGAAGTGACCCGCTCTAGTAGACCCGTTTGGTTGAGAAATCCCTGCCGTTTTTGGCGCAGGATGGCGTAGCCGGTAATGTTCATGTAGCCGCTGAAAATACCCACTGCAAACAGAAACGGGATGTTATGCAGGATGGCCAGTACCAGGGCTGAACTAGCCACCACGAGCATGGCATAATAGAAGACGATACCGAGGCGGCGGTGAGCTAGCCCCCCTTTTTTGACCGCTATGGCCAGGGGCCCCGTCAGCAGGCCAACACTGCCGGCGAGAATATGAACCAGTAAAAAAGATTGGTAAAGCATAGTTGTTAATGGCCCCTGTTGGGTAGCTGACAGATTACCAGACTCCAGTCGATGAACCTGGCATTTAGTAATTAATTTAAGATGGTGATCAAGGGGGCCGCCAATTCGACTTAGGCAGGCCATTAATTAGCCGTTATGTTTTGCTAGCGCACGGCTGGGCTTCTCTTATTTAGTGAATTAATCTACGGACTCGCCCTGGCTGAAGGACCGACGGGGGCCGAAGCAAGTGGGAATAATTACACTGACCAGAAAGGCAATTAGTAGCGAAACGGTTATGACCTCCGCGTACGTTGCCTCAACGGTACGGTTTACAAACTGAATAGCACCCATCACCAATATCCAGGTCAGCACAAAGGCTGAGTTAGCAGCCGAAAATAGCGATTTCGGATGCGGGTGAAAGGCAAAATCTATAGTCTGTACCAGGCCGTACCAGATTCCCCAAAACCATGAACCATACCTAAGTGTCTCCAGACCCAGATACGTATAGTATTGCCAGGTATTATCGATTGGTGATCCCAGTGCAGGTTCTACCAGGTCAATTAAACTCTCCAGGCTACGGCTTAACAGAAAAGCCAGTAAAATCCTGGTCCAAAAATCTCGGGCTGGATGAGCCGGAATGATTTGGCAGATGAATGGGGAAAAATATTGATAGTAACGGGTTTGTGTAAAGAGCTTCATGTGATTAGATTTTGTCGGTTACAATCAGTTTTTAATACCTATGATTTGAGTTAAGTTCTCAAAATTTTATTGAAAATGTTGCCAGATGCTTTCACCGAATAATAATTTCATCGTCTCAGGAAAAATCCTGTGCAACCGGTAATTTACAAAAGCTAGTACAACTGCCCCAAGCAGCACATTTGGATAGTATTTCGCTAATAACAATCGAGGTGTAGGGCTTATTTCGTCTATAGTTTGCTCAATTTGCTTCAATTCTTTCTTCTCTTCAAGTGTGGCTAACCCCTGCTTTTTTATCGACTTAAGTTCTTTATAACGGTCTATAATGATCTTAAAATACGGTTCCTTCTCCACGTTTATGTATAATCCTGGCAGTAGCCGGGCCGTGTGAGATACTGGAGAATGCCACAGCCAATAAGAGGCAATGACAAAATTCAAAAATGCACTTCCTGGAGGCATGGTGAAACAAGCGACATATAATAAAAAGATAAATATGTCCTTGGGCGTAAGATCAGTGTAAGGACGATCAAGACTCATTGTTGCTGCTTGCATAGGGATATTCAGGTATAAATGATTCTATATTTTTTGAATAATCTTCACTTCTTCTGACGAATTGCAGGCACTTAGATTTCGCTGACTTTCGTTAAAACGAAATAATTTCCACATCAATTTAGCAAATTTAAATAAAACATAGTTTAATTTTAGGACTATATTGACTTTTTATCAACCCTATCATCCTAGTATTTCGTTCTCAGTCTAACAGCTTTACCTATGCATAAACACCTAACCCTTAGGCACATTCCTGCGTTAACCGGTCTTCGAGCCTGGGCTTTTGGTTTAGTACTGCTTGATCACTGGGTACCTATTTTTCACCACGTGTTGATGGCTGGAAACGGGGGCGTTTCATTATTTCTGGTACTAAGCGGATTTTTAATCAGTCGACTCCTAATCGAGTCAAAATTGACTAATACCAGCTTTAACGATTATCTGTTGCACTTTTACCGCCGACGGGCTCAGCGAATTTTTCCGCTTTATTTTCTTACTCTATTAATCCTGTTGTTAGCAGGAAATGACGTAGTGCGTCAGAAGTGGGTTTATTTTTTCACGTTTACTGCAAACTATTACTTAATTAACAACCCTAATTCGCTCCTAGACCACTTCTGGTCGTTATCTGCTGAAGAACAACTTTATATTTTCATTCCACTTTTAATCTGGTTGTGTCCCCTCAATCGGTTGCCAGTACTGGCCCTCCTCCTTATCAGTTGCAGCTGTGTATTTCGGGGGGCCGCTTATTACTGGAAAGGTGAACCCAGTTGGTGGCCATTTAGCTACGAGTCCGTTCTGGGATGTTTAGATTGTTACGGCATTGGCTTATTGGTTGCTTATATACAACTAATCAAACCACAGTGGGCAAGCCAGTTTTTTTCCTCGGCGCTTGTTCTCAGAACTCTGTTAATACTCTGGTTAACGGTGCTCCTGCTGGGAATTTACTGGGAAGTGCATGGATTTGGGGCTTATTGCAATCCCGTCACGGCAGTGAGTGTGCGGCTGGCGGTTGCGCTCTTCGGCGGTTACCTGATCGGGTACTGTCATCAGAGTTTAGGTCGCTGGGGGGGATATCTGTTATTAAACCCAGTTTTTCAATATTTGGGGTCTATCAGCTACGGACTTTATATAGTTCACAATCTAATTTATAACGCGCATATGCCCGTAACATACCCGACGCGTTACGCCTGGCGCGAAATTGAGCAGCTTCTTTTTTCCAGTAATTCGACGACCACTATCCTGCATCCTACCCTTGAACTAACCTTTTACTTTCTGTTGACTGTCTGTCTGGCCAGTATATCTTGGTATGCCTTAGAAAAGCCGTTCCTTAATCGTTATACAAGAAAACGTAAACCGTCCCTTATTTTGTCCTCTTAGCAATAAAAATCAGTTCACTATCTAAATTCTATTTAGTAAGTTGTTTCCACATAAATCAACTTATAAACGCTAGCTGTTATGATGACTCGAAGCGAAAAACAATTTATTGGTTTCATGTTGCTGACCACCGCTTTCAATGGGTGGTCTTGGCTCGTGCTAAAAGCCCCCCTTACGCTCCTTTCCCATGTGAACGAAACTGCTTACAGGGGCAAACTGGGCTGGATGCAAGCCCACTCTCTGTTGGGAATGATTCAACAGCTGGTTAGTCAACTGATCATCTTTTCGGAGATTGGAGCGGTTGTCCTTATCGGGATCTGCTTTCTTTGGCTGGCTTACCAGTCGATATACAGCCCCGGTTCATTACCGATCAGAAATCAAACCGGATGCAGTTTCAAATAGGCTACTGTCTGTTAAATTGTTCACCCGCTTGATCGCTATCTGATGGTATCCTTTATTCTGTTTCTTACCACTATACACGTATGAAACTGAGTAGTTCGGACGACCAACGTATCAATTTAAGGTACTATAAAAAAAGGAAACCAGATCTGGTTTCCTTTTTTAGTAATGAAGCGGGTTATATCAGCGAGTGAACCGGTAGGGTTCGAAATCGACAAAATCAGTTGCTTTTACGTCAACGCTCACGCCTTTACCATTTTGGGTACTAAACAAAGCTGGTGCTATGCCAAAACGGGGGTTAGAAAAAGTAATCCGGAATTCATCCTTATCCATGTAATCAAGTCTGGCCGTTAAATCAGGATGATGTTGAAAATGGATCAGTAAGCTATTTTTCGACTTGCTTCCAGGGGTTACTTCTACCCTTATCGTTCCATAAAGTGGATTTTTGTAAGTTCCGGTATAAGCCGATAGCGGGATTGGGGGTTGATTATTTTTAGCGACTCTAGTTTCCAGTTCTTTTATATCCTGGCTTTGCTTTTTATCCCGACGAAGGCTTCGCTCATAGAAGTAGGCATTCTTGTCCTCATAGGGCGCTTTTGCATAAGCATCCAGAATTTGAAAGCGTAGTGATTCGTGAAAATTACTGTTATCCTGATTTATTAAAACGACGATTCCCAGTTTTCGGGATGGCACAAAGGTTGTGTTGGTATGAAAGCCAAAGGCTCCTCCAGCATGAGAATAGACGTCCATATGCTGATAGTCAAACAAGCCAATACCCAGGCAATAAAATTCATAGGTAAAGGGCGCTATTGGGTGTTTTTTGTACGTAATAATTGTACTGGCCCGGCGGGTAGCCTCAAGAACGGAGTAAGGTAAGATACGTTTTCCTTCATAGCGACCCGAGTCCAGTTGCATGATTAACCACTTGCTGATATCGTTGACTGATGAGACCATTCCGCCGGCAGGCCCCAGATTGTCAAGATTGTCAAAGGCTACCTGCATTAGCTCCCCCCCACTTGTACAGCAGTTTGTATAGCCGTAAGCAATGTTTTTCCGCTTGGCATAATTGGCCGTTAGGAGGTAAGTATTAGTCATTCCTAACGGTTTGAGTATAGTCTGGTCAACGTATGAATTCCAGGACTGCCCCGTCACCTTAGGAATGACTAACCCCGCTGTTACAAAGCCGGCATTGGAATAACTATAATCCTGTCGAAACTGGCCCGCTGGTTTTACCAATCGTAGATTCTTCATGACGTCCTGCATGGTATAATCTGAATTCCAGTAGACAAAATCTCCTTCGTACGATTTTACGCCAAGTCGGTTCGCCAGTAAATCACGAATGGTCGCCATTTTTGTGGCCAGCGTATCATACAAGGCAAAATCGGGCAGGTGTTTTAGTATCTTGTCGTCGAGGGATAATTTCTTTTGATCTGCTAAGCTGGCCAGGGCGGTAGCTGTAAAAAGCTTGGTATTGGAAGCCATGTAAAAGAGCGTATTGGCATCAACCGAATCAGATTTACCAACCTGTCTGAGGCCGTACCCTTTGGCTACAATCACCTTACCGTTTTCAACGATGGCAATGGCCAACCCCGGAATTTTGCTCGCTGCCATATTCCGTTTAATGTACGTGTCGAGGCTATCCGTAACAAAAGCAGGCGTTTGGCCGAAGATTTTGAGTTGATGGAGTAATAAAGCAAGAATCAGTCTGTAAGTTGTTTTATTCATGTGTTAAGTCAGTTTATGAGTAGAGAGGTTGTATTTGGTATGCCCTTATTAAGCGTATATACCCCCTGCAAGAGGGATGGTAACTATTTGCGTGTTCCGTTTCCCTGCAAACGGTCCTGTTCAGTCTGGGAGCCAAAAGAGCGTTCCTCCACGCTTTTGGCTTTTAAATTTCCGAGACGGTAGGTGTAGGTCAGCAAAATCTGCTGGCTTTCGTATCGATGCGCAAAATCAATTCGGTTATTTAGGTAAACGCCATGATTTTTTATGATCGCTGTATGAAATATATCCGTAGCGGCCAGCTTAAGTGAACCTCGTTCCCCTACTGACCTTTGTACTCCGGCGTCAATATTCCATAGGGGATCGTATCGGAAATACCCGATGACGGCTCCGGTTCGACCAATGAAATTAAGATTTGCCGTAAAATACTTTGTTTTAAATGTATTAAAAAGCCTAAGAATGGCAGTTGATTGACCTGTATAGACATCAATATCATTGTAATTAGAATAATAGCGCGTGTTATGCGCCGTTACTGCGGCTTGCAGCTGCCAACCAGTTTTGATAGTAAAAGGGTAAGAAAGCGTCATTGACCAGCGGCGCTCCCAGGCAAAGTTTATGTTCGTATTTAATGTAGTGGCCTGGATTGAATCAATTCGATAAACGACTTCAGTAATTCTGTTTTGCGTTTCATAGTGCAGTAGAGTTAAACTCAAGCGTTTCGGAGTTGTCAGCGTAGTTTGAACGGTTGACGTGTACTGCGGGATTAACAGTGGATTGCCCGTATAAAGGGTTAGGGGATCGAAATAGAGGTAAGCAGGATTAAGTAAGTCAAAGGCCGGGCGGACGATACGACGATTCGCGGATACGCTTATACCATATTCGCTCTTACTTCGATAATTTAGAGATAAGGAGGGAAATAGGTTGGTATAATTTCGGGAAACGGCTTCGTTACTTGTTGAACGGCCATCATAGCTAGTGTGCTCAAGCCGTAATCCGGCTGAAACATTGACTTTCTTTACGCTGAACGACAGATTACTGTAAGCCGAGCTGGTGTTTTCCTGGTAGTGAAACCCGTTGGCAAGTTTAGCTTTTACATCCAAAAAACCATCTGTAAGGGTATTTACAAACGGTTGATTATTCATTAAAATCGTGCTGTATTTTACGCCCGCTTCAAAACTGCCTTTTTTCAAGAAGGAAGATTGATAGTCGATTTTAGCCGTTTTAATGGTGACCCGGTTTGGATAGTTTATACTAAACGATTCGGTAGACGGTACGTTATTTTCCCGCTCATTAAACAGAGCGGTAGATCGGTACTTGTCATCATAGCTGGCAATATCAATATCACCCGTCAGCAACCTGGTGCTGGTAAAGTTGGTACGAAAATTAAGGTTAGCCGCCAGATTCCACGTTTTTTGCTGCAATTGGTTCTGTGCATCGATATGCATCAGGGGCGCATTTGGCGAGGAGAGCCGGTAATCGAGCGATGCTACCGGATTTTGCGTTTCGTTATTATGGGATCCTTGAAGCACGCTGCCAATCACCGTATTTTTACTAACCGTCCAATCCAGGCTGGTACGTAGTAGTTGACCAAAGCGATCCACGTAATTAAACTGACTGCCCGATGAATACCCATCCGCTCTATTGGCGTTAAACAGCGTCTGCTGCCGTTGCCAGCTGTAATAGGTTGGTTGATAATTTGGGGCAAAAAATAAAGCAGCTTGAAGCTTTTTGGTCTGTAAACCAAGGGAAAGTGATGCGTTACTTTTTACATAGCGTCCGGCTCCCCCGGTCACACTAAGTTCTCCCGTTAATCCTTCCTTGATCATATTCTTGGTTTGGATCAGGATAACACCAGCGCCAGCTGCGTCGTACTTTGCCGGTGGAGATGTCAATATTTCAATTTTTACTACGTTAGCCGCGGGTAACGTTTGAAGGTAAGCTATAATCTCGCTGGGTGTCGAATAGAGTTGCTTTCCATTTACATACAGCACTAATCCCGTTTTGCCGTCTAAGCTAATGGACTTGGAAATAGGGTCTATCGTCAGACGGGGAGCTGCTCCCAGCGCATCAAATGTGTTCCGACCGGCATAAGCGGGATTATCTTCCAGATTTACGAGTATACGGTCTCCGTTTAATTCAAATAGTGGCTTTTTATCTTTGATGGTAACTTCACTTAGCGAAACAGACTTGGGTTGTAACGTTACATTCATCAGAACGGGGGCTACCGAATCGGACCTAATAAGGAGTTGCTGCAGGGGTAAAAAACTGATGTGTGAAATGATGAGCTGGAGCGTGTCCCGTGTGCTGTAACGAATACTAAAGGCCCCTCTCTCGTCCGAGAACGTTGCCTTAACCAGGCTGGAATCTTTTTTTAAAAGGGTCACTAACGCATTCGATACGAACTCACCCTGCATGCTTTTTAAAGTGCCATATAGTATCTTTACTGGCACAATAGTAGTATCC